CACGTGATCGTTACTAATACTGACTCCCATCCCTGTGGGATTCCCGAAAAAATGTCAGTCTCTAAGGGGCAGTGATAGCCATGCTAACTATGTAGGGGCAGTGATAGCCATGCTAACTTTGTAGGGGCAGTGATAGCCATGCTAACTATGTAGGGGCAGTGATAGCCATGCTAACTATGTAGGGGCAGTTATAGCCATGCTAACTCTGTAGGGGCAGTGATAGCCATGCTAACTATGTAGGGGCAGTGATAGCCATGCTAACTATATAGGGACAGTAGAGACTGACACGGGAGTGGATTTTCACTCCTCTCCCGTCCCACTCCCACAGAAAAAAATTGTGTCCCGTCCCGATCCCGGGCCAGAGTAGAAATCTAAATCCTGTCCAGTCCCACTCCTGGTAAAATTACTCCCACTCCCATTCAGAATGATGACTCCCACTCCTGCACTACTCCCATTCTTATTTTTGAGCGCGGGTGAAAAACTCAGAGCGGAAGCACTGTTGGTTTTTGGGTGGTGTAGTTTTTTTGACTCGCATTATAGTGTAGACTTCAAGGAAAAAAACTACAAAATGGCGGCGCCAGTACTGGATTTTTTTCTTTCTATTTTATTTTATTTTTTGGCATCGATCCTAGTTTTTTTTAGTTACTATTGGTGTGCTTCCGCTCCCGTCTGCTCCCGTTAATGTTTAATCCTGTACCGTCCCAATCACGTGATCGTTACTAATACTGACTCCCATCCCTGTGGGATTCCCGAAAAAATGTCAGTCTCTAAGGGACAGTGATCGCCATGCTAACTATGTAGGGGCAGTGATAGCCATGCTAACTTTGTAGGGGCAGTGATAGCCATGCTAACTTTGTAGGGGCAGTGATAGCCATGCTAACTTTGTAGGGGCAGTGATAGCCATGCAAGTCCAGGGACTGACTGCAGTTCTACTGTAAGGTGCCTTGGTCAAGGTCAATGACTGGCGTACCTAACATGTATCAGCAATACCATGCATATTGCTTTAGGTTAATAGACTATATTCATTAGGCTATGTATGCTTCCAAAAAAAAAAATTCCACCACCCCCCTTTTTATTTTTATTTTTACAGCCATTTCTTTTAACTGGTTATGCCGCTGACACCATTTCTCCAAAGTTTGTCAAGCTCCTATCCATAAGGCTGGCTGCGCTGCAGGTGGAGACAGGAAAATACAGAACCTGAATCTTCCCCTCCGTACACGGTCAGGCAGCGGCTCCATCACTTTAACGTGAAGAGTAGAGCCGCTCTCACCTGAAGAAGCCACCCCTCAACTGGAGGAACAGCTTTAGATCGAACATAACTTTACATCGCCCTCTCCTGCAAAAGCATGACAAGGCGAGCATGGCTAAAAGCGCTTTGATGGAGCAAATAACTCAGCAGTTTCTGTCAAGGTTTTTTTCTCTATCTTTGCTAGATGAAGTTATAGTTAACACTGGACCAATCGTTATTGTTAACAGGTTAAGAAGTTTTAAATTTCACTGACGAGACTGCATCGTTGCAACAATGCTGTGGTGGAAGTGAATAAATAGACGATCCTACTGAACAGCCTTAACTGCTTAAGAAAGATTTCGACCAGAACATCTTGTGGTCGAAATCTTGTAGAAATCACACAAGTGAAAATCTTTAAATGGGATCAAATGTGACTGGAACAGGAATGGATAGCTAAATGTGCCGCATATTTCATGAAATAAAAAACTGAAAAGATCTCTATTTGTAAATATAAACTTTTAAATGTTATCTGAGATGCTTGCATAAAAGATTTTTTTTTTATCCTCAATAAATACATATTATCTACCATCATCTCACTGGTTTTAAAAGGGAATGATTGTTTACACATCATGCCACAAAGCCGTCCACCAGCTCTCGGTACTCAGCTCCTTCTCAATTTCTGATGCACCCAAGGACTGCTGCCAGTAAGTCATCCGAGTATTTTTGCAAATGACAGAATTGGAAGTGCACATTCGCTGTGTTGCTAACTACCGCCTTTAGTCACTAAAGTCATCAGTTACAAAAACTTTGGTCTTTTTGTCATGTTGTTTTTTAACCCTGGTGATTGATGTTGCAGACAGATCAGTACTTTGGATAAGCAAACTACAGAGGGTCCTGAGAGCCTCCTGTTTGCTGGCTCAGTTGGACAAACAAGAGACTCCAGAGGACCTTCATGATGTTTGATGACAGGACAACAGTTCTATAGTCACTGAGGACTGATGGTTGAGCTATCTGCAATACAAGATCAATAAAGGAGGTTTTCAATTCAGTTTATTTACATAGTGCTAATTTACAACACATGCCATTTCAAGGCTCTTTACAGAGACAATTCAACCAGATCATACAGTTAAATTGAATTAAAGTTTTCCATTTGAGGAAAACCAGATTATTGCATCGACTCATTGACTCGAATGCAATCCTCACACGAAGCATGCTTGTAGCGACAGTGGAGAGGAAAGACTCCCTTTTAACGGGAACAAATCTCCAGCAGAACCAGGCTCAGTGTGAGCGGCCATCTGCTGAGGCCGACTGGAGACAGAAGCAGATATACAGACAGAAGCGGAGATACAAAGGAACTTATCAACCAGCTTCACAGGCAGGCTGATCCAGGAAACACACAGCCAGGCAGATGAGCTCAGAGCCAGCTCCAAAGTCAGAGGATGAAGAAAGCACATCCAGCCAATCACAGTCAGAGAAACAGGACTACACTTAAAAATAACCTGAGCTCAAACATCTATACACAAAGGTGATGATGGCAGCAGCACAGCTGATATTTCTCTCCAGGATGGTGTAACAGCCAAACAGGAACAGACCAGATGAAGCTACTAACTACTCTTCAACAACAATGGAACCGTCCTCTGGGTCAAAATAATAAAAAAAAAAGATGCCATAGAATCTACACAGGCCTTCAGAACACCGTCTAGACCTGCAGCCTTGTAGAATGCGTGAACTGAATTGGAATCAGTTCGATCCATCCAGCTGCCTCTTTACCTAACTTCTAGAAGCAAACAGGTGAAAGGAGGAGGCAAAAGGAGCAGGATCGTTTTCTGGTTGAGTTAGAGCAAACATACAGAAGCAGGAGGGTCCATGGACAAGTTCATGATGAATATTTATGGTTTATGGAAACTTTGAGTGATTTGAATTTACTTTTTGCTGTAGTTCATTTACAGTAAGCTTTGAAGAATGTTCTTTATGCTTTCTGTTCCTGCCCACATTTCATCTAGATAAACAGGGCCCTTGTCCAGACAGAAGCCATTGGGGACAAATTAGCAGTTGTGGCTGTTGCTCTCTGAAACGGGAGGCTGAATGGTGCTGATTTAACCCACATGTCACGTATTGCATTAACAAATGTTGAAACACATAAATCAAATTACTACAAAGGGTGAAAATAGCTCTTGTGAAGTGCTCTGAAATAATAAGGTCCTGAAACCACAGCAGGAGTTCAGCACAAGATTTTTGGTCTTTTCACATTCAGTCTTCTCGTGAAGATCCGGCAGTGACGTCACGGTGCGGTAAGCCTAGCGCCATTCTCCCCGCTTTACAAGCAAAATCAATGGGAACTACTAGACACATCTGCAATCAACAACAATTATTGAAGATTTCCAGAGGAATTTACCATTGAAATTCACCAGAGCTATAGTGAAACTGACAATGCCACAGTGCATGACAGTTGGAGGTTGGAATACATCTGGTAAAAGTGAAAAATAATATAGTTATTTCACCTTTCTGATTCCTGATCCTCCACGGACGGGTTCGTTGTTGGATTGCCAACTTGAACAGGGAGGATTTGCCATCAAACTTCTGGCCAGAGAAAAAAAAAACACGTAATATGTAGCCAACATTTGGAAGAAGAATGTTTTCAAGATGACTTGGATAATAGCGCGTTGTGACAAACACCAGATACAGCACTGGGACTTGATCAATAGCCGATACCGCACCGTGACGTCACAAACCAGTAGGTGGCAGTAGTGTTCTTTGACAAACATGGATGCCTCCAGTAAAGAACATTCAAATGAAAATTACTCGTAATTAAAAAAACACGTATCATTTATTGAAAAGTAAGAAATAATTTCATACTTAAAGTAATTCAGGAATTTTGAGTGCTGAATACAACTGGACTTCTCCTTTAACACAAATAAAACAGCATTTAGTTTATATTTGCTCCAGGGGGAATCCATTAAATCAATTTTACTCATCAGGATTAGATTAATTTGTACACCACAAAAAATTTATATTTAGATAAATAATTATTTTTTTTTGCTTAAAATAGGTTAATATTTCTTGAACTGAGGAGGTAAGTGAAACACTTTGCCAATGGAGCAAGGGGATGTATTTAAAATTAATTTGCATTTTCTGATTTCAAGTGCATATTATCTAATTATCTTACTTTAAGAGTAAAAATACTTATTTCATTGGCAGATAATGGTATTTACCTACTCATATTAAGGATAAATACACCTAATTTAAGAAATCTCCTGGAATCAGATCATCAGAGTAAACCAATTCCACTGACTGCCTTTTTCTTTCCGTCTGCCTCGGCCTGACAGGAGCGGACAGCTGAGCATAATCCTCCGCCAAGCAGATGCTCGGAGTGCGGATATCTCAGACATGCAGGCAGGTTTGATCTGTGTGTGTGTTTGTGTGTAACCTGTAGAAGCGTCGGCCATTGGGGCAGTAATTCTGGGCTCTCGCACCAAGACCACAGAGGGCCTCTGAGTGTCAGCAACACATTTTTCTATCCTGCATACACACATGCATCCCACCACCTACACACACACACTGCATCAGTGACACCTCACAGCTAAATATACTGCAAGTGACAGCAACAGGTGACCGTGCTCTTCCACAGACATGCACTTAGCTTGGACGCAGGAGGTCACAGGGTGTGTGAATGTGTGTGTGTGTGTGGAAAGGACAGAAAGGGGACATGCACGTGTGTGTGTGTGTTGGGGGCGTTGGATTGTGGACTACCTCAGCTGCTCACTTTGCAAAAAACCCAGATCTAAACGCTGCCCAGCTCGGGCTGCCTCGCTTTAGAAAGCCAGCTGGTCTGGCTTAAATGTTACTTTTATTCAAGTTTTGTTTTTGTTTTTTTTATTAATCTTGGTTCATCTTGTTTGATACAAGGAACTGACTGAACAAACCCACAGCTGGAGCTGCTGGGAATCCTTCCAGGTGAAGACAGAACAGAAAGCACTGGTAAGTGAGCTGATGTCTGAGAAAAGAGTTTGATGAAGAACAGGGGTGCAAACTTTAGAGGAATCAGAGATTAGATGAAGAGAACATTTTGGAGACTGATAAAAACATTCGTCTCTGAACTGGACTGATGTTGAAAAGTTAATGGTTTTATTTTCATTGTTTAAATAAAGTGTGAGCAAAACTCTGGTCTTTATCTAAAACAGGAAGTAGAAATGGAGTCAAGTTTATAATTTGATTACTTTTCTGTACTTTGAAAAGAGTTTTTGAATATTTTTATCGACCAGAACCTCTTCCACTGCTACCTGCCCTACTCGCCACCTAAAGTTCTGCTGAAATACCTGAAGTTTTCCAACATCTGAACAACAAACAAGCAAGGTTTACATCCCTTTTGCTTGGTTGTGTTCTTAAGATTTCTTAAAAATAGCTTGGATTTGTATTCCCAATATTTTGAAACAGACTTTGAACAGATTAGAAAGAGACCAGTGGAGAATACATAAATAAATATCAGAAATATGACTAAAAGAACCGTAATAGAGTAAAAAAAATAATCTGTAGGTACGGATGTAAGAAGAATATGGTCAATGACTCAGGAGCTGTTGTATCCTCTGCTAAACTGTCAGTTTGCTTTCATTGCTCTTTAGATGTTTCAGATTAATATGGTTTTCCATGTTGAAGAGGCTTAATTATTTCTCTTAGCAGCTAAAAAAGCAAAATGGATTAATAAAAAAGAATTACATAGTAATAATAATAATGAAAAAAATTTCAAACAAGGAAAAAAATTTTACTAGAAAAAAAACCCCAAAAAACCGAGATAAAGAAAATAATCATTAATACATATGAAAACAAGCTAATATATATAAACCAAAACAAAATTTTTAACTTGATAAATCTGAAAAAAACAAGTTTTCTCATTTATGAATGTAAATTAGGTCTTTCTCAAAATGTAACCGCAGACAATCAGGGCTTAAACAAGCTTCTAATTTAAGACAAGCAGAGAAGACAGAGTTGAAGTCAGAGCATTGAATTTGTGGAGGAGCTGATCTTCCATGTTTTCCCACTTGAGCTCATCCTGGCTTTTGGTCATCTATGATTTGTTTATGACAAATCTGATAATAAGTCGGTATTTTTCATGTGATAAAAATTACCAATAAAGGGAGCAGTGTTTTATAATGCAGCTATCAGAACAAGCTTCTGGGTGCTCTCTGCTGGTCACACTGCGTCATCATACTGTACATGCTTTGGAGCAGATAATTCAATTCAATTCAGTTTATTTCTATAGCGCCAATTCACAACACATGTCATCTCAAGGCACTTTACAGTTCATCAGATCATACAGTCAGACTGATTCAAAGTTTTCTATCTAAGGAAAACCAGTTGATTGCATCTACTCATTGACTCGAAGGCAGTCGCTTTACACTAACCATGCTTGTAGCGACAGTGAAGAGGAAATACCTCCAGCAGAAAAAGGCGCAGTGTGAGCGGCCATCTGCTGAGGCCGACTGGGGTTCAAGGAGACAGAAGCAGAGATACAAAAGGCAACTGTAAAAGGCGGCCCCATCCAGGAAACACACAGCCAGGCAGACGAGCTCCGAGCCAGCTCCCATCTCCCATATGATCTGGTGAACTGTAAAGTGCCATGAGATGACATGTGTTGTGAATTGGCGCTACATACATAAACTGAATTGAATTGAATGTCAGAGGATGAAGAGAGCACAACCAGCCAGTCACAGTCAGAGAAACAGGACTACATTAAAAAATAGGCCGATCTCCAATATCTATAAACAAAGGTGTTGATGGCAGCAGCACAGATGATATTTCTCTCCAGGATGGTGTCACAGCCAAACAAGAACAGACCAGATTAAGCTAATATGAGCAGAGAGAGAGAGAGAATGGGAGAAAAGAGATATAATGAAGCAGAATGATAAAAAAAAATGGGTCCTTTTGTTCTCCAGCAGTTTAAGCCTATAGCAGCATATTCATAGAGATAGCTCATGATAACTTGAGCCACTCTAACTAAAAGCTCTATAAGGTACTGTGAATAAAGATGACATCTTTATTGTTTTGTGGAAAACATGAATGACTAAATTGGCCTGAAAACAGCAAAAGTGGAAACTGCGTGAAAATAGAATGAGAAAGAACAAAACTTAAAGTCTCCTCCGCAGTGAAATGAGCTTCAGATGCTTGGTACATCTATGCCCTGATAAGTGATCTATCTCATGGTTTTTGATTGATTCACGTGTTAACAGCCTGCTGTTGTTGGAGCATTTCTGTTTTCTGATGTTGTGGTTTGTGGCAAGTTTGAGTATGAAGTGAGTTTTTATTCCACCTCAATCAAAGAAGAAGAGATTAAATTTTTTACTTATTAGTAAATTAAACCGTTGTTGCTTGGTTGTTATTAATCTTAAACCCTCTGCTCCTTATGTCCAAGGCAAACTAGTAATTAAAAAAAATAAAAATTAACTATTGTTTTATATTTTTTCATAACAAATTAAAATCTCACATTAAAATAAATCTTTATTATTTTTGTTTTAAAACTGATTAGGAGCATGTCCTTTTTTTTCGATTTTCATAATTAATAATTTAAAAAACATAAAATCAGGCAGAGAATAAAAAAAGATCAGATTCTTACAACTTTAACAACTATTTGACACTAGCAACGTTAATTCTCTACTTTATGGTAAGAACTTTTTTTTTTTTTTTCAAATCAATTAAAGTGCCACTAAATAGCCAACGAATAAATAATAATCTATGTATTTCATGTCCGCTTGCTTATTTTTAACAAGACATTCGAAGTATACAGTAGGGTGGAAACAGCGCCTCCTACAGTCAAAGTGTGTAATGTCTGTAGAATTAGTGTCCGGTCTGGGAATAGAGGAATCCAACATTTAACCTAAGCTCTGATTTAAAAAGCTTTTAACTCATTTTGAGCATTCCTATTTTTTGTTCAACATTGAGGGATAGAAAATCAAACAAAATTAAATTGTAGTTTAATCCCATCAAAGCATACAGACACTTTTTTTTAAAGTTGCACTATCATTTATGTCCACAAGGGGTCAGTATTGTGCCTGTCCTGCTCTGTCTTCAACTTTATCTTGTCTTGTTTATTATTTTCTTATTTATTGCTTATTTAATTGCTATTTCATTTATTGTTAAAATATCTTTAGGAAATGTAATTTGAGGAAAATATATTACTTTTTTGGTGTTTAATTTATTATTTCCATAGAAAAATGCGGTTTTCTACAGTTTTCTTGAGACGTTTTCCTAATGTGTGTCATTGCGCGCGTGCCTCTGCGTGTGGGCGCGATGCTGCCTGACGTCCGTCCCTCCCTCCGTCCAGGTGCTTACTCACTGACAGCCCGGGAGGCGCGTGCTCTGCTCCGGGAGGAGAGGAGGCGCTGGACGGACTGAAGTGAACCGCTGGACGGAGACAGACGCTGCTGCGGGATTTGCCGAGATCGAATCATGCGGGACTGAGCGGGAGGTAAGCAGCTGTGTGAGGACTTTGATGCGGGTTTGACAGGTTCGGTTGGAAGAAAAGTAAAGTAAAGGGTTCACTCTCTGCGCTGTTTATTTATTTATTTTATTCAAAGCATCTCGTGAAAGTGTGAGAGGCAGGTTTCCTGTCAGCGGTGCTTCAGGCTGATCAGGAGACACTTTATGTCCACAGCCGCGGAATAAACGGCGACTTTTTGGACTTTTGGGAATATTTTCATTCTGACTCAGATTCTCAGCACTGCGTAAGAAACAGATCTTTACTTTTTTCTTCAGACCACAACAACTGGAATAAAAGTAAGTGTTAGAAAATAGCCTTAAAGCCATTTAATTTTTTTATTTTTTTTGTCTCTTCATTCAGTGGCGGATCTAGACCAAATGTACCAGGGGGCCAGGAAGGGGGCAGCGTATGTTCATGGGGCACAGAAAAGAGTAAAATAAAAAACACAGCAAGGTCAATTAACATTCATAATTTATTTTATTTTTTACAAAATTCAGTTAAAAATACTGTTTTATATTAAATCAGAATTAGAACTCAAGAACAAAAGAGTTTTTTTTTATTTGTTTTGAAAAAAAATTAGCAGATGAAACCTGGGATCCAATACCACTGAAGCTATCACCTTATTGTTATTAAATAATTAGTGAAACCGAATTTGTAAAGAAAAGAAATAGATCCAAAGGACCTATCAGTAACCATGTCTGTTCCAGCAAAGATCTTCATTAGAAATTCTTTGAGTATGATGTCTTCGGTACAGGGGCCGTAACAGGGGCCAGGACATGATTTACAGGGGCACTGGCCCCTGTTGGCCCTGTTAGCCCATGCTTCAAAAACCACACTCATCAGAATGTTTTTAGGACTTTTATGTGGCAGATTGAGAAGAACAGTAGTGTGGATGATTTAGGATTAGGGGGATATTTAATCATTTTTGGAGTTCAGTGTCAGACTAGATGGAGAGAGTCTGCAAACTGCACACATATCATTAAATAACATTCAGAATGGATAACAATGGACTTTGACTAAGCCATTCTAAAGCATGGATGTGATTTTAATTTAAATCCACTGATTTCTGGCCTCCTGCTGAAGAAAAACATCCCCACAGCATGACTACCACATGTTTCCCAGTGCAAGGTGGGGTTTATCTGATGTGACATCACTGTTTCCTTTTTTTCTCATGATAACAGGTGCATTACCATATTTATCAGATTTTTTTTATACATTGTGGCTGTTGCTGTAATTTGAGAAATGGTGGAAAAGTTCCCAGGGCTCTGGATGTTTCTGCAGTGCCTCCTAGAAACAAAGTTTATCCTTATCAAAAATTAAAGCCCATTTTTTTAATCTAATAATACTTTAACTCTTAACTTTTAAGCAAATTTGTTTTTGGTTTGGATGGCCTTGTTCAGGTTCCTTGGAAACATTTAGTCCAAACATTTGCTGTCAGCTCTGCCCCTGCTGTAGACTCTACAGTATAGACATGAGGGCAAAGTCCAAGTATTGTTCAAAGCAGGAGCGGAGCTAGATGGGGGGCCAGGGGTGGCCATGGCCACCCTTAGCCAATCATTGGCCACCCCTACCATTTTTCTCTCTAATGCTACATTCACACCGAGAGGCAGCAGGAGCAGCTAGTTTACATGCAAAGTCAATGGTTGACGCGCGTCAAGGCGCAGCAAAATGTCCTGCAGCGCATCTGAGCAGCTGAAGCAGCGCGTCAGGAAACGCAAAGGCAGCTGCTGCTTGAGTTGGAAAAACTGAACTTTTGCTGCTCAACGCGCCGCATCAACCAATCAGAGAAGCTGCTCTGGGAGCTGGCAGGCAGACAGGCACATCGCTGATGATACAGAGCGCTGTGATCACACCTCTGAAACAGTTTATTAATGCCTAAATTTACTTAAAATGCTGAAATCTGCAGGCAAAACATTTTCGCTTTAATTATCCTGGTGCCTGAGGTTTGGATAACGTACATGGAAAAACGCCTTCCAGCCGCCGCTGCAAAACGCGAAGAGGCGACCGGGCCAGAGGCTGCTGTTGAATGGGATTCCTAGTGACAGAGCACCGCTGGTATGTGGGGGTCTGAGTGGTTCCGACAGAAATAATATTTGAAGGAAGGATGGTAATCTGGATGAACTGACTGCACACATTAAGCTTTCAGGTGGATTTTTCCACTTAAAAACATGTTAAAACTACTTTATTCCCACTGATCACAGAAGGATAGAGTAGCTCCGCCCAACATGCATCAGACCCACTTTTTCCACCGCGCAGCTGAATGTAGCATAATACAGACAGTGGCAGCAGTAATACTCTCAAATGGAATATTCTAACTTATTTAAAATTAAAATTTTTTCATATATTAACAGTGACTTGACAACAAAAACACTTTTAATTATGCACATCAATATACTGACATAAAAAGGTACAGAATTGATGCATTTTCCAGAACTAGATTATGTCTTATGGGGTAAAGAGAAAATGATGTCTTTCCAAGTCATCAAGGAGTCTACAGTGAAATCGGAGATAAATAACTACTTTAATAATAAGTAATCAATTTAATGTAGATATTAGTAGATATACTATTAATTTTAAGAATGATTCTTGATAAACGTCTAAAAGTAGTGGCAATGATTAAGATGTTCGCCCTAGATCTCAAACTTGAATGATTTTTGTCCTCTATACCTTTAATTTAGACAGCATGGATGTTTAAATATATGCGTCTATTTGTTAGCAAAGACTGTAGGAAAGCATAGTTTGTCTTTATTTAGAAAACATGGATGTTGTGCTTGTTCATTTTCCTGTTGGACCAGTGTAGATTGACCCTAAGGTTCTGGCATCTATCCACATTCAGCCACCCCTCAGTGTACATTGGTTATTGCCTGGCCACCATTATTAACCCTTTCTGGCTACACCTCTGCTCTACAGCCCAAAGTTAAAGGGTTTGTTTAGGATGTCATGTTGATACATTTTTATGTGGAAAAGTTGCTGCCTGACATATTTGAGTTTTATTTATGGACTCATTTTATTTTCCACTGGGATTGTTGTAATACCTGTCTTACCTCCGGTCTTCAGTTTAATTTTTCTTTTTAGATTATTTATGTTGTGACGTCATCCATCTGAGCTTAAGCTTGGTTTTGTGTTTTTTTTTACCAATGAAAAGGTAAGAGATATACAGATAATGGCTGCAGGTACATATAAATCACTGACTGATTGTTTCAGATTTACAATAGTCTAACTAAGATTTACAGCATCAAAGAAAAAAATCTGCTATCGTAAAATATCTTTTAAATTGAACTACAATATTCTCTCATTTATTGTATATTCAAACTGTCGATTTTGCAGTCCTAGTGCTTCCACCATCTTTTAAGCAGACCTCCTTCCTAAGCTTCCGTTTCTAACTCATCATGTGGAATCCAAGGCTTTTCACCTCCCATGTGACTTAATCTGTTGAGCCACAACACCTCCCTAAGAAGGCACCGAGAGGCTGTCCTGAGGCCCCAACCAGCTGCATTGGCATTTCCCAGGGAGAAGCAGAGACTCTGATCAAGACCTCTTCACTGTCGGTCTCCAGCAGGGTTGGATGTAGGAAATGTATTACCCTAGGCAAAGACAGGCATGGGGCCCTCTGAATTGAGAAGACGACGCATAAAACAGACCCGTTACACAGATACACACATTTTAATAGAATAGACATACAATATTAGATTTTATAAGAGCTCACTTAGCTGATTGCTCCTTCCTGTGTTTCCAAAAAGGCGACAGCAAAAGTAAATAACCCAGTACTTCTTTTCACTGTAGACAAGCCATGATCTGCTTCTCTGTTCTCCATTTTTCATTTGGATGAAATAATAGCTGCATGAATCATGACAGCAGACAAGATAGAGGAGAGCAGGAGGCGGGGTTACTAATCTACTTGCTCTGGAGAGCAGAGTTTGCTGCTTTTAGATGTTGTCTCCAAAGTCTCCAGTAGCAGAAAAAAGTCAAAAAAGTCGCTAGATTTGGCGCTAGGCTGCATGAATCATGACAGCAGACAAGATAGAGGAGAGCAGGAGGCGGGGCTATCAATCTACTTGCTCTGGAGAGCAGAGTTTGCTGCTTTTAGATGTTGTTGCCAAAGTCTCTAGTAGCAGAAATAACATTGTGAGCTGTGAACTTTGAAACCCTGCGGTTTCGTTGTACATTTAACTGTAGCTGCGTGCAACGATTGAAGAAAATATACAGTGTATGCCCGGCTGAACATGGAGGGAGGGACAAGCTGAGCTCATGGTTCAGTGTCTGTCCCACTAAGGAACTCAGGAGTTGTTTGTTATAGGGAGTACCCCAGCATACCACACATGCAAGGTCAGGTTACGTCTGAAGTGCATATTTCACATCTTAAAGGGGAGCTGGTCAGATATTTAGTCTACATCTGTTTGTTAAACTCGTCTGCCTTTTATCGCACATAAATATATTTATCTTGGTTTTTATTAATTAAAGGTCTCTTTCTCTTAAATGTATGAAGTCAAAATTCTATCAAAAGAGCACACATGGAATAAATACCCAGAGGAGCAGTTTTATTTCAAACATGGTTTCTTTCTTTATGTAACAATATTCTAGTCTTGTTTTGGCTTCAGTTTTAGGGGTGGGGGGGAGTCATTTGGTGAACTTGGTTTTAACTTCAGGCTGTAAGCAATGACTTCTCTAAAGAGAGGGCTTGTTGGAAATAAGCAGATGGTTAAATGCTTCAAAGACGGCCCAACTGTTCTGGCAGTGAGCGCTTTAAGGAGAGCGCTGTAGGCTGCTCTGAAAGTGACTCAGACAGAGGAGTGTTTGTGGAGAAGTCACACAACATCTTCACTGGAATTATCACATGGTTACACAACTATGAGCATCCGACAACCGCTTCATCTTTTGGATTAGCTGTGAAACTCATTCCTAATAACATTTTTTAATGACCAGTGTTAATCTTTCAGAGTTCTATGACCTAATATTATAGAAACTTATCAAAAATATTAAACACTGCGACTACATCTGAAACTAAGAAAGACATCTATTGATAAGATAATATTGAATCAAATAGGTAATCGCAGGAGTTGTTTTTCTCATGTTCCGCATACCGCCCCCTGCCATGTTGTTCTTCATTTAAATTAACCTTTATTTGACGATTGCCTACCTTAAGAGGACGATGAGAGACCATCTGAATCCGGGGTAACCAGTTAAAAATCAGTCAAAAAACCTTGGCAAAATCAGAAAATCATCAACCAGTAAAGGTCTGGAGACATTTTTAATTATAATCCTTTACTTTAAACAGGATTTAACACTGAAATAAATTGAAGTTTTAAATGCATCCATGTTAAACATTGAATTTTTAAATAAAAAATTAGAAAATATTTCCATTTTAAGATCTAAATTGTTTTTGAAGCGAGAACAACAATCGTTCAGTTTGGTAAATGGACAATTTCCTGATTCACATATTTTCTAAAACACTTTTCTTTTTTCTGTCTTAATGTTGGCAGTGGGCTTTATGCTGCCCTGCAAGGCTTTAAACCTGGGTTTGAATGGAGACAAAGACATTTTAAAGCACATATCAAGGTGATCATTTTGAGCCTGGGTCGATGTGATCAGGGTGGACAATCCTGCTTCACAGCAGTAGGTTGAGCCAAAAATACAAAAAATTTGCAAAATTGTTACTTGGTGACAGTGGAGAGAAAAAACTCCCTTTTAACAGGAGGAAACCTCCATCAGAACCAGGCTAGTCGGAACAGACATACAGAAAGAAGCAGAGATACAAAAAGCAACTTTAAAAGGCGGCCCCGTCCAGGAAACACAGCGCGCTATTATCCAAGTCATCTTGAAAACATTCTTCTTCCAAATGTTGGCTACATATTACGTGTTTTTCCAGAAGTTCGATGGCAAATCCTCCCTTTTCAAGTAGGTAACCCAAAGAAGAACCCGTCAATGGAGGATCAGGAATCAGAAAGGTGGAATGACTTTTTTTTTTTTTCTCACTTTTACCCGATGTATTCCAACATCCAGCTGCCATGCACGTGGGCATTGTCAGTTTCAATATAGCTCTGGTGAATTCCAATGGTGAAGTCCTCTGGAAATCTTCACTAATTGTTGTTGATTGCAGATGTGTCTAGTATTTCCCATTTATTTAGCTTATAAAGCGGGGAGAATGGCGCTAGGTTTACCGCACCGTGACGTCACTGCTGGAAGATGGCAGGAGTGAGGTGTTACTATATTTGGGCAAAAATGGCCGCTCCCAGACTCAATTATCACATTGAAAATTATTGTTTTTAATTTTTTACAGATTAATGCTGAATTCATTAAATTACTGTGAACGTATTAGTTTTAGGTGCAGATAATGATCCATTCCTTGCTGATCGGACTTTTCCTTTAACTTTTCTGGAATAACTTTGACCTGGATGATTCAGCATCAACAGGCTCCCAGTCCTGCACCGCCTCTGCTCAGCAGGATCACTGGATCCCCAAGAATCCTTCTTCCCCCCAGACCCCACCTCTGGCTCCACCAGCCTCACCAATCATCCTGTGTCCTCAGACCATGTCAGCTCCCTCCGGATCAGAATTATCTGTAACATCCTGGCAGGGAATACGAGGGCTGGTCCACATGTCACCTATTAGCTGTTGCTCTGGGCTGTGGGCTTTTTTATACAAGAAAGAAACGCTCCGCCACAGACAGCCTTAGAAGTTGGCCTGATTGGGAAAGATTGTCGAGAGAGCGCTTGAAGTGAGATGTTGGACAGCTGATTTCCATTTCTCTGTGTGTTCAGCGTTTGCTCGCCTTTCTGCCAAACAGAAACCAGCCGTATTATTATGATTTGGGGTAAAAAGTTCATCCTTTTATTTTTGGAGTCATCCTGTTTTACAGCGTCTATTAATAGTAGGGTGGGTTTTGAACACGCAGGAGGGGGAGCTGCATGGAGATTTGCCGTCATCCTGAAAATGATCAAACTCCTCACGAGACGACACCTTCATGCTGAGTTCTACCATTTAAAGCAACCTTCCCAGAAAAGCTAACATCTTTGCTCGACTTGAAATTCCCTGTTAAACTCCAACACGCCGAGGGTGCGTGTGCAGAGAGGAGCACTCTTTGAGTAATGCTCCAGATAATCACATGAAGCCCAATCGGCGTGTCAATACTTGCTGCAGATAGTATCACAACACCAGGGTTATACTTTTTGTTGTTTCATGACTCAGCACAGTGATTATGGTTTAATGTCACATTACGTTGGTTAGAAAATTCCTCCAGTTGAAAGCAGGCAGTAAATTGTCTTCATAGCAGTGTGTTTTGGTGTTCTTATGTCTGTTTTTTTACCAAGTATCCAGCGAAGATCAGGCGTGCTGCAATGCATATCGAAAACGCTTTAATCAGTGAACAACAAGCCGTTCATAAATGAGGAGAGGAGTGACAATCTGCTGGCAAAATGATCTTAAAGCTAACATTTTCACAGGGAATCTTAGTGGAAAGGTTCCTCTTTAGGGCTGCACCCTACACACCTCAAGGTTTCCCCATGCTGTGGTTGCCATGTCAGCAGCCAAAGCTGTCAGCCTCTGCAGCTCCTCCAAGGTCACCATTGATTCTCTCCCTGACTGTTGGTTTTGGCCGATGGTGGTTTGCAATTGGTCTGAGAGAGGTTCAAAGCTTTTATAGCCTAAACCTGTTTAAAACCTCTCTACTACTTTCTCCCTGATCTGTCTGCCATTTTTCCTGGTCTTCATAGTCTAATATTCCCTAACAGACCATAGTGGAACAGCCGGGCAGCGTTTTTCATGGAGCCGGTCTCTTAAGGCCATTTGTTGCACTGCGTTTTATTCAGCGGAATCAGACTGATGGCCTTTATTTACTTGGATTATATGTCTGAAGAACTTTAACAACATCTAATGTACCTTCTACAAGTGCAATAATCCAAGTCAACTATTGTGTATTCTTTCCTGAGCTCTCTACAGATATTTGTATATCTAAAGGAAACATATTCCAGGACATTAGAACTTTTTTATGCTCTTTTGTACTGTAAACACTCTTTTTATATTGTCTGTTGTATTTTTATCTTTAAAGACATCTTGCTTTAAATCTGCCCTTTGTATTTTATATTCAATTCTGTTTATTTATATAGCGCCAATTCACAACACATGTCATCTCAGGCACTTTACAGTTCAACCAGATCATACAGTCAGATTGTTTCAAAGTTTTCTATCTAAGGAAAATCAGCCGATTGCATCGAATCATTGACTCAACAGCAATCCCTCACACTTAGCAAGCTTGTAGCGACTGTGGAGAGGAAAACTCCCTTTTAACAGAAATAAACCTCCAGCAGAACCAGGCTCAGTGTGAGCGGCCATCTGCTGAGGTTCAAGGAGGCAGAGGCAGGGATACAAAAGCTAACTGTAAAAGGCGGCTTCATCCAGAAGACACAGCCAGGCAGACGAGCTCCGAGCCAGCTCCCATGTCAGAGGATGAAGAGAGCACATCCAGCCAGTCACAGTCAGAGAAACAGGACTTCACTGAAAAACAGGCCGATCTCCAACATCTATAAACAAAGATGTTGATGGCAGCAGCACAGGATAGTGACGAGATGATGCTACAATGAGAAAAAGCAGAGAGAGCATAACATTAGAGATTGAACTATATACTACTATACAAGCTACTGGAACCAGAATGTGCCTGAAGTAATCCCAAGGGATAAATAAAGTTGAATCTTAAGTCTAAATCTAGGTCAAAATCAAGTACTTTCGGTTGGTCTGTTGAGTAGGCAGCTAATAGGGCTGGGCAATTAAATGCATTTGCAATTTAAGAAAATGTGAACAAATAACAGAGGTACTCAATTTTGGTCATTTTTTTCACAAAACTGCAAGACAAATCTTTTCTTACCCCAGCCCTTTAATTAGGGTAATATGTTTAAAGTGGGTTCGCTTTCACAAAAAAAGGAAATAAAGTTGCTGCCAGCTGCAGATCCATGCATGCATGTAGAAATGAGCACTTTTACATACAAAATTTAAAGTAAAGTCCTGCATCAACGGACTCTGGATCAACCAGCCTCCAAAGGAATGAAAAAATTAAAACATCTAACTATCTAGTGCAAAGAAAAACTCAGCATTGGTTAAAAATAATTGAAATTTTGAATTGTGTCAAAATCTTTCATCCCTAATTGATTGATTGACTTTATTTATCTCACAGTGGAGAAATGTTCTTGTTACATCAGCACAAATAGTCATAGGAAGAAATGTTATTACTATTATCATCCATAGAGGTTTGTGTTGCATGTGAAAATATCAAAAGGGTTTAAACAATAATCAGCTCTTCCTTGAGAAAAAATACTGTTTAGTTACAGTGGTTCACATTATTCTTTTCCACATATTTGACTAATTATATTTGAGTATAAATTTGTTCCATTGGAATCTTCATTCCAATCCACTGAGTAGTTTTTCCAGTTTCATCACAGCTTCTTTCTATTAATATGGTTTAATAAATGCCACCAAAGTTTAGTTTGGTCTGCTTTGGTAAAAGCTGTAGACGCCTCAGTTCAATTTTCAGCAGACCTGAACTCCACTGTCTGTATTATTTGCATTCATACATGGCCGCTTGTTTGACTTCCTCCTGAGAGCAGGATAACCCCTGAGGAAGCTGGTTTATGGGCGTGTCGGGGGAAACAGATACAGAGCCACGCAAACAGGCGGCCTGTCTTCGCCCAGTGGTTAACAAAACCATGTCCATAGATGTCTGTCTGACCTTTACACTCTAAATTAGTTTTTATCCCTCATGTCTGTTGTGTGTGTTTGAGGCATGGAAAAAAAAACATCTACATTTTTACTGCCTAAAGCTGTCATATATTCTTAAGCTTTCATAGGAAAGCTCAGTATGTGAATCTGAATGTGTCGGTCTATGTTAGGAGCTGAACTGACCGTGTGTTTGTTCCTGTTTCTCTGCAGGCACCAGCCAGCACTTTTGGACTGAGAGATTTGAGGATCTGGAAGTGAAATAAAGGAGCCATAAGGACTTTGAAAGAGGAGAAGAAATAGTCGACAAAGAGAAGAAGCAGGAAGATCACAAAGATGGGGAGAAAAAAGATTCAGATTGCCCGAATAATGGATGAAAGGAACAGACATGTAAGCAGCAAACAGGAAACCTTATTTAATCTCATGCACAGAGCTGCTTCTGAACATGAAGCCTAATTCTACGTTCAGACCGCCAGCAGCAGAAGCAGCTAGCTTACATGCTAAGTCAATGGTTTACTCGCATCAAGGTGCAGCAAAAGGTCCTGCAGCTTGTTTTGAGCAGCTGAAGCAGCGCCTCATGAGCATTTGAGCATGCTGCTCTTCAGAAGCAGCAGCACTTGCTGGAGTTGGAAAAATGTAACATTTGCTGCTGGACGCGCCACATCAACCAATCAGAGAAAGTGATCTGGGAGCTGGCAGGGAGACAGACACAGCACTGCTGATGCAGAGCGCTATGATCACTCCTCTGAAACTTTTTTTGTATTTATTTATTTATTTTTTAGTTTTTACAGCACTAGGGGGTTTGAGAGAGGGGGAGGGACATGCTGCAAAAGACCACAGGTCGGATTCTAACCCTGGGTCGGCCGCGTCGAGGACTTAAGCCTCCGCACATTGGTCATGCGCACTAACCTCTGCGCCACCTGCACGCCCTGAAACTGTTTATTAATGCCTAAATTAACTTAAGAACTGAAACCTGCTGGCAAAAATATTAGCTTTTATTATTGTGGTGCCTGCAGTATGAGTTACATACGTAAAAACTTCCAGCTGCTTTGAACATTAGCAGAAAACCGGGAAAAGGCGACTGGGCGAGAGGCTGCCGTTGAAGGGAATTCCTAGTGACAGAGCACCGCTGGTGTAAAGGGGTCTGAGCGGCTCAGAACTAAACTTGTACAAGCATGAAAAATGAAGCAACACGCGTGTTTTTGCTGCTTCTGCTGTGTGCGGTCTGAACGTAGCATCAGATATTCCTCCAGTTTTTCTAAAAGGTGTCGTTCAGGACAGACTTTAAACATTTAACTCATAATCTTGTGTTTATACTGTCTTTGACGGCAGATGATTTGAAGTATTTGTAGTATCTGCTTACAGTCCTCTATAAGAACACACTATAATGCCAATAAACAAGTGTTTATTCACACCTGTTTTAGTTTGATGAAGGTTCACAATATATCATATTCAACAACAGTGATCTGGGCCGAATAAGATGATTCTTTTGGAAGTTATTTAAATGAAATTATATTTGAGATTTTTAGGCTTTTGTGGATTATTATTTTTAACAAACTTTTCTGACAACAAAATGTTTAGTTTGAAATGGATTAGGATTAAGCTGCACCTATCAGTTATTTTAGAATCTATTAATCCACCGATCATTTTTGGGGTTAATCTAAAAAGAGATACTTTTAGTAAATTAACATTAGCAAATAAATAAATCTTCAGAATTCAGAAAAATATTAGATTTTGCCTTTTACATGAATTGTAAACAGCAGAACATGAACATATAAATTTATATAGATAGAAGATTTTTTTATCTTGGAAAATGTTTATATTTTTTGTAGTTTATTCTTTTTTACTGCTTTAGGGAGGGCATTCTATCAGCAAATGGCATTTTTTAGAGTTTATGTAGCATTAGTCTAACTAATGATTCAGTTCTGCTACCAAACTAGTTTCATTTTATATAAATAAAAAATGTATCACAACTAATCTGATCCTTTTATCCTCCCTAGAATGAATTTGTTAAGATTTGACTCACCAACAGGTGAACAGATGAATTGACTCATGGTCCCTCGTTCATCTGATGAAATTGGTCGAGCAATGATTCCTCCACGTGTTTTGCATTTCATTTGGAGTCAGTTCTCAGCTTTTTAAACAATCTTGCATCAAGTTTAATCTTTTAAAAATTCGTTGAATTTCTCAAACTAATGTTACCATGTGTTGTATCAATTCAAGAAAGAAAAGTTCAGATGTTATAGATTTAAGCTGTTCAATGTTTTATAGGTTTGGCAGCCATATTGGATTTTGAGATATGGATTAGTGAGGACAACTTATAAGAACAAATAGAAAGTTATGCTCAGCTGAGGGTTAAAATCTGTTTAATCTGAATTCAGTTTTTGTTTTTATCTAAAATTTAATTTAACTCACTAGTATCACATATTGAGAAAACCAATGGTTTTAAGTAGAAACTATTTAACGACCTGGTCCCCCGGCAGTTGCATTCAGACTCACTGGCATGTGATGTTTACAAACACCTACTGCTTATGAGTCCATGTCTGGATGCAGCAGCTGGCTCAGTGCAACATGACTTCTGAGTAATGAGGCCTTGCTGTCAAGGTCTTATGCACAGGAGCTTCGTTCCAGATTAGTGCACATACATTAACATGCACAGGTCCTGTTTGAAGGAACGCTTCTTCTCTTCCTGTTTTGACAGGAAGTAGAGGCACATGTGCTTCATGACCCCCATCAGGCAGGTGCTGCCTCACGATTCTTCCCTGTGTGGCGGTCCATGTATGGGTTTTAACTTTAGAATATTTTCAGAACAGCACCAAGCAAGATTATAAAAACATGAAAAGTCATGAACTCAATGCTATTTCTGACATTTTGGATTGAAAAAGCTTCCTGGATGGGAAGAGAAACGTCTTCACACTTGAAAACAAAGTTCAGTGGGTTGTTTTTTTAACCTTTTTTGGATCTACAGCCAATACGGTCTCAGTCCTGAAAGGAAACCAAGGAGCATTTTTTGATCATTTTGTGAAGAAGGCTTTAATTTATCAATTATAATGTACACATAGAGGGACAAAACTACATTTTTTATGACTTGTGTTCAGAGCTATAGTATCAGATTCACGTTGCTGCAGGAAAACAAAATTGGTTTCTCTCTTTCCGTGGTTTCTGACAAAAAATCTCTTCCTCACTTTCCTCTCAGGTGACGTTCACAAAGCGAAAGTTTGGCCTGATGAAAAAAGCTTATGAGTTGAGCGTGCTGTGCGATTGTGAGATTGCACTCATCATCTTCAACAGCACCAACAAGCTGTTTCAGTACGCCAGCACCGACATGGACAAGGTTCTGCTCAAATACACCGAGTACAACGAGCCACACGAGAGTCGGACCAACTCCGACATCGTGGATGTAAGTAAACCATGCATGCAAAACACACGTCCTGGTCACTTAGCGAGGCTGGTCACCATAGTAACGTACTGTGAACGTCAAACCCGCGCCAGGCCAGGCTAGCTTTCAGGATTGAGCTGAATCCTGAAAAACGCCCCCAGCCAGCAGCCAATCAGATGTTTGGAAACAATGATGAGTCCTGGATCAAATACCTACTTTAATTTAGAGGGAAGAAGAAGTTAAACAAAACAACATCACAATAAAACAATCTGAAAACCAAAATACAGTTAAAACAAAAGATGCTTTTAACAAAGTAAATATCTTTTAATTAATTTTTAGATTTTTCCTACTTTGACATACTAACCTTTTACTATTTGTTTGTTTTCTCCTTTATAATGTCTGCATACACCCCTGGCATTCACTTGTTTCATGTATAAATTATATATGAAGCTAAATACGAAAATAATATACAGTAAAATAAAGGTTGCTTTAATTATTTTTTAATCATATTCGGGAAAAATTAAATTCAGTTCATTCAAATCGCACCGATTCACAACC